CAGAGAGCAGAGGAGAGAGAAAATTACAAAAAGTCAACCATTCCAAAACATCAATATGTGTGTGTGTGTGTGTGTGTGTGTGTGTATTGTGGTTGATCTTTAGGAATAAGTTACAAACTAAAGAGAGATTGGGAGGAGGTGATAAGACAGGATTTAGGACTTCTCGACCTGGCTGAGGATATGGCCCTAGAAAGGAACCTTTGGAGAACTAGGATTAGAGTAGCTGGATAGGAGCTCGGTGTTGTAGAGGTTGTTTTGTAGTGTGTTGTATTTGTTGGGAATCTTTTGCTATTGTTTGTACTTGTTGCTTGTACTTGGTGCCTTATCTGTGCTATACTGTGTTCTCTTCCATATTTTTGTGCAGGTGGAGCCGGGGGTCTCTTGGAAACAGCCTCCCTACTTCCGAGTAGGGGCAAGGTCTGCGTACACATACCCTCCCCAGACCCTACTGTTGTGGGATTCAACTGGGTTGTTGTTGTTGTTGTTGTGTTGACAGTTGACACCCAGTGTGCTTTTTGTGGTGTAGAGAGTGAAGAGGTGTATCACCTATTCTGTAGATGTTCTTTCACTAAAGCTGTCTGGAACAGGTTAGCTAGCTCGATGGGATGCCAAATCTTAGGTGACTCAATCCAAGATATGGAAAAAGTCATTGAAAATCAATGGGGAGGCTGCAGGCAGAAGATTATAGGAGTGTATGCAGCCATTTTCTATGCTGTTTGGAGATGCAGGAACAAAAACAACAAGGAAACCAACAGCCGCATCTGGAAGCAGCTGCACAATGGGTTATCTACCAGGTTAATATGTTCCTAATGGGCAAAAAAAGGAGGAAAAGAGCGGTTTAGCTGATTGTTATTTCGATTTCCTTTTTCCGGTGTGCTTGTCTTTTGAATTTGACCCAATAGGTTGGTTGTCTGGTTGGCTCTTTTAGTGGTTGTATTGCTGTGATGTTTGTTTAATGAATAAATTTTTAGTGCACGGTTCCACACACATACACACACACACACATATATATACAGGGTCTAAGATATTCCATCATATCCGATGGAGCCAAAGATTCACTATTTTTTGCTTTAGGGTATGATGAAACAAAGCAAAATGTTAGTCACTCTTTAAACTGCCATATCTCGCCCGATCGAGATAGCCCCCTTTCACCAAAAATAAATCCAGGGAGTCATCCCAAATTTGGAGCGTGAAGTGCAATCATAATATTTGTTGGGGAAATTGAATACCAGGTGTTATTATGGTTTTATGAAAAACTTAAAAACTTTGTATTTACGCTCTGTTTACAAAAAAGACTTGGTAAGCCATCAATCATTTTCACTTTTAACCTACAAAACGAATTAGTCAATGCAGTTTTTGACACCCAGAATGGGTCAGGTGCAGAAGCCTTTGACGCACTGGGGTAGTGTGTTGTTGTATGAAGGATATAAGTATAGTTTTCTTTATTTAAATATACGGAATAATAAGTTAATAACAGCAAGTTACCTGAGAAGGGTCAATTTCAAATGAATGAGTTTCTCTTTCTTCAGTAGCTGCTGCCAACTCTGCTTCATTTAACAATTCATCATGTCTACCTTCTATTTCGCCTGCAGACTTGCTGATCATGAATCCATCACTTTCATGAACCCCCTATAAATTGAAAAGTTGCGGTAAGATATAGTCGGATGCAAATGAAAGATAAGAGAAGAAAGTTTTAATTGAAAACTTCGTAGGAATGTCCATGAGATCATAATAAATGTAGAGGGTTGAGTGTCGCAGACAAAAAAAACTTGAAAAAGAGAGTGTGCGTAAAACTGAGTAACAGCACAGGAACTGAAATGCATGCACTGTTTATTGCAATTTCATTCACCAATTCTAATTCGATTTTAAAATAAAATATAAACTAAATTAACAACTGTCACACATCATACCTAGTAATAGTTAATACATAAAGAATGCAAAAGGAATTGAACAACTCACCCCAGGTAGTAGTCTAGCTCGACCTATAACTTCATCTTGAAGAAGCCTTTTCAACACCTGCAGCCATCAATATGACGCATTCATGAGCTATGTAATAACACAAAAGAAATTCAGTGAATTATTGAGAGAGCTATCATCTTACCTCAGGAAATGGAGATTCAATGAAATACCGATTCTTCTTAAGCACAAGCTTTACTTTTCCATAGTTGGCAGTCGAAGCATGAATAAAATCGATCATTTCTTTAGGAAGCTTTGTTTTTGATAATTTGCTTATAACAGAAATTATAGTTTCAGTGTCCAACCCAACCGACACTGCCGCATACAAAGAGTGAGGTGTCAAATTGTACTCGTGCATAGACTCTGGCCTACATTTTGAAACAAACTAATCGGGATTCATCAATCGCAATATGATATCATAGATACATAGGTATGCAATCCTAATGTCAACAGTATATAACATTGATGAACATTTACCTGCAAACAGGCTCAGCAATGGCTATGAGAAAATCATATGCCTGTTTGTATAATGCTGAGAATGTTTCAAGGAAAATCCTTCCATCAGCACAAGCCCACAAGGGGCGATTTCCATGATCAGGTTTGAGTTCAAGTTTTGTGAAATCTCTTCTCTTCCCTTCACCATCTCCTAAGATTCAAATGAATTCCATAATGAAATCTTATCACACGTGATTTGTATGAATAAATATGCAAGGCTATAAATTAAGAAATTGAGGACTGCAATCTTAAATAAAATACCATCTCGAGTATCGGCATTGATGTCTTCTAGATAATGTGAATCATCTGTTTCGACAGACTTATATTCCTCCTTTGTTGTTCCAACAACAACAAAAAAGAATAGAACTCAATTTTTTATCATCACATGATCCGATCAAAAAATTTCAGTGAATATTAGCACCTTAGAGGCAAGCTTGATCTTTTTGCTGGGTCTTCCTTTATCTCCTGAAATTCAAAACCCAGAGTATTAATCAACTAATTGCACACATCATCCGAAGTAATTTCAATACGATGGGAATCAGTTTTGGTTTGTTTGAACTTTTTTGCTACAATTACCATGATGTCCCATTATATTATATCAATGATGAGAACGATCAACAACCGTTCCCTCTTTCCAAGTATCTGAAAATAACAATCGCAATCTGCAAAAGAACATGGAATTCACTTAGTTTGAAACATGGAATTCACTTCCTTCTTGAATTGAATTGAAATATCTAATTTGGTGCCTTAGAAAGAGCGTAATTTGGTAAAACAGGGAAGGAATTCTATTGCAACAAAAATTCAATTCCCATCAAATGGATGAAAGCCATCCCTACACACGATACACTAGCGGGTCGTCGATCCTTCTTGCCTCCAAGCTGGCGTTGGTATCAACAATCCTTTAACCGCAATGAAGCCGTGTGATGGTTGCAGGGGTCGGACTAGATATCAGATGTCGATTGAAAGAAGAGAACGCCAAGGTTAAAGGAGAGTACCTTATCCTATGTTTTAAAACTGGGGAGCGTCTCCAGTTACTTATAATCAGTTCCTTACACCAGTTTGGAGTACCTACGGTGCTCCGTTTGTAAAAATGACGGTTCCTACCTCCCCAAAACCCCCTACCCCAGCCCCATCCTTGCCCCCACACCCCAGCCCCCCTCCCGCCCCCTCCCTACCCACTGCCAGGGTAGGGAGGGGGCGGGACGGGGGCAAGGGTGGGGCTGGGGTGGGAGGTTTTGTGGGAGGGTTAGGAGATAGGAACCGTCACTTTTACAAACGGAGCACCGTAAGTACCCCAAATGAACTGGTGTAAGCAAATGACACCAGTAGCACTGGTGTCATTTTAGACTTAGGGGCTGTTTGTTTCAGCCTCTTAATGGTTCAGATGTCTGAATGGTTCAGTACTTAATGGTTCAGACTATTTGTTTCAGCCTCTTAATGGTTCAGATGTTTGAATGGTTAAGAGATTTGCCTCTGAATGGTTAAGTATTATACAGAGTCTGAATGGTTAAGACCTCTTATCTGAATTAATCAGACATTTGCCTCTGAATAGTTAAGCAATATACTAGCTCTTAATGGTTTAGACCTCTTACTAGTTCAGCACTTAATGGTTTAGACATCTTACTGGTTCAGCACTTACCTATTCAGAAATTGTCAAACAGCCTCTTACTCTTAAAACTTTGGTGCTTATGCCTTATGCTTCTCATATTGGTAAGAATCTCTTCTAAACTAAAATATCTTTCTAATATTACTTGAACGGGAAGGTTCAAGTGACATTAGAGGCAATGTCATGGACCCGGGGACGCTCCGGTGTCCCGCTCGTAAAATTGATGGTTCCTAGCCCCTCTACCCCCCCGGCCCCGACCCGAACACCCCCCACCCCCTTCAATTGCACCCGACAAGTTGATTTTGATTTTGGAATGCAATTGAAGGGGGTGGGGGTGTTCAGGTCGGGACCAGGTGGGGGGGTTTACCGGGGGGTTAAGTAGGCTAGGAACCGTCAATTTTACGAACGGGGAACCAGAGCGTCCCGGGTCATTTCATGACATTGCCTTCCAATGTCACTTGAACCTTGGTGTTACTTGAATAGTTTCAATACTTCTTATGGTTTTAAAATTGACACAAACATCTTTCTTTTCTTTATTATTTTTTTTCTATTACTTTTTTTCATAAATGTTTTTTAATCTCTTTTTTAAAATTATTCTTTTATAATGTTTTAATAATCAATTTTTTTGTGTTTGCAATAAAAATTAATTAAATAACAAGAATTAAGGTACACTTCATTTGTATCAAATTAAATATTTTCATTTTTCCCAAAAGATGTCTTTATTAGTTCATTTTTAGGATATGAAAATCAATGAAATATTCTCTTTTTTTACTTAACTGTATGTTTGAAAACATGAATTTGGGTTTCAAATCCGGATTTGTCTCAAATTGAATGTTTGGGAAACTTAAAATTTTTAAATTTAGATTTGAGTCAAATTCTTCTCATTCATAACAAAACTTAATTTGAAATCCATGTACCTTCCATTGTCATTTGAAATTCAAGTTTTCAAATTTTAGAATTGAAATGCATGAATTAAAATGAAATGCTAGTTGCCAAACACTACCTAAGCTCATTTCTCATTTTCTGTTTATTACTTTTATACCGTTTCTTTTATATTAAAGGCTTTTCGCAGAATGCATGTATATGATTTTCCTACACTTTATAAATGAAATTAACAATTGCAATCATTAAATTTAGAGGCAAAATAACAAACTCAATAAATTTTGTATTTACTAATATAAATTAGGTCATCTTGGAAAATGGCTTCGTGCTCATAGATTATGTTTTGTGCACTCTTTCTTGTCTGGAGATCACAATGATGTAGAAGCCTTCGATGCCTGATAGTGTGGAGCCTGTTGAGAGGGATCCAATTTGAAGACATGTTTCCAGGAGAAGCGACGATTGTATTGAGAATAAAATATATGACCTTGATGAATTATATATATAAAAGATTTCGTGAATGCAGGGAATGAGATAGATTGGATGTTTGAACACAGAGGTTTAGGTAGTTTTTTTTGTGCCTGATATTTCAAAAGTGATTACGGAAGTTGTGGGTTGGGGAGAGTCGTGTGTTGGTCATGTTTTTTTAGGAGTTGGGATAAAGTTTTCAAGGTCTTAAATTTGTCTAATTTCCACAATTTGAAATTGGACCGTTGATCGTTTTTTGTGGCCTGGATTTTTTCTATTTTTCTTCCCATTAAAACTAGACCATTGATTTAAGGATTGTAGCGTGAAAATTACATGGCAATTTTGATTCAACCTTTTGTATATATTGTTGGGTTTGTGGAGGCTTGGGCTTGACTTGTTAGCCCGGCCCGTTTTTTGTAACCCTAGTTGCGCTCTTTCTATATATATTGCATACTTGTACTTGTAATCGACACCACAAGTGAAATAAGAAATTCCTCCTGTTGCAGCCGTGGATTAGGGAAACCGAACCACGTTAAATTCTTGTGTGTCGTTTGTGTTCTGTTTCTCTCTTGATTTTTGCAGATTATTTGTGTGTGTTGTGTGTTTTATCCCCAACAAGTGGTATCGGAGCTAGATTGTTCAACACGAACACAAATTGCAAGTTGTCAAGGGTTTTGCAGATCTGAAGGCGCGGAAGAATCGTGCGCTGAAGGAAAAATAGGCCGCTGCTCCGCTGAAGAGATCTATAGCAGCAGCCGCTGCTGGGAAAAGATCTGGTTGTCCAGCGTGAGTGCCGCCGCCGTCTAGATCTGTTTTCGCCGCTACTCGTGGTGAAGATCGCCGCCGCCGCTCGCTGAGTTCACCGCAGATATCCACTGTCCGGAGAGGGTGAGCAAACCACCGCCGCCGTCGAAGTAGCTACACGCAGAGGCCGCCAGGTTGAGGAGCCGCTGCGAAGCCGCTCCGTTTCAGATTCGCCGCCAAACAGATCCGGCAAGAGGAGCAAGCACTAGGGGTCGCTGCCGCCGTTGAGTTCGCCGCTGGTCTTGAACCGCAGTGAGGAAGTGCGTTGCTGCCTCCAGTTCGCGCTGCCGTCGAGATCTCAGCCGTCCAGTTTGTTGTCGCCGTCCAAGTCGCAAGCCGCAGTAGATTTGCCTACCTGCAGTTCGGTTGTCGATCCAAAAAGGAGGCGAGGAGCAGCTGTTGGCAGGAAAGGAAGGAAAAAAAGGGTTGGGCCGCCTTTGTCCAGCCCAATTGTTTTTTTTCCCCCTTGGGCGTGTGTTTTTTAATTTGGGCCTGTTTGACTTGGAATTGGTGAGAAGTGGTCTTGTTCCTATTTTTCTGACGAAAAAAAACCAAGATCTGAAATTAGTTGTACCGGGTATCTCGTCTAGTCGTTTGAGATGGCAGAAGATGGGAAGTTCCGAATTGAGAAGTTCGATGGTACAGATTTCAGTTGGTGGAAGATGCAAATTGAAGATTTGATGGTTCAGAATGATTTGGATGTGGTTTTGGGTGACAAGCCAGAAAAAATGTCGGATGCAGATCGGGCAGTTTTGGATCGGAAAGCAATGTCCGTGATTTGTCTCTCGTTGACCAAGAATGTTGCGTTCAACATTCTGAAGGAGAAGACATCGAAGGGAATTATGGACGCGTTGTCTAACATGTACGAGAAGCCATCTGCAGCGAATAAAGTTTTTCTGATTAGAGAGCTGATGAACACAAAGATGAGAGAAGGCACTTTAGTTACCGAGCATATCAACAAGTTGAATTCGATCTTAGCCAGACTTGCGTCAGTGGGCATTAAGTTCGATGATGAAGTTCAAGCTTTACTACTGCTATCGTCTTTACCTGATAGTTGGTCCGGAACGGTTACAGCGGTTACCGGTTCAGTGGGGCCTGATGGATTCACCTTTGATCAGATTCGAGATCTCGTTCTTGGCGAGGATGTCAGAAGAAAGAGTTCAGGGGAGTCATCTGGTGAATTACTTCATGTTGGTA